CTGCGCCAAATGTTATTTTCAACAAAAGTAAACTTGGATCATTTATAAATTTCAAAACTGTGTGTAATTGAGTATCAAGTTTTTGGGGTTTTTTGCTTCTGAAAGGGGGCGTATCAGAAAACAGAGATAGTAAAGAAAAACTTAAATCTGGGGGGAAACAAATATGTTGAGGATGTACAGTGCCAAGAAAAAGTAATTTCCCCTCCCCCTGATTTCTTTGGTTTTTGCATATTTGTAACATTTAAATATGTCGTATCATCAAACAAATTTTATTATTTTGCAAAAATAACTTGTGTAAATACAAAATGTAGTTTTTCAATGACGCTCTCATTCATCAGGAAAAAATATGTAAAAAAAGTAATTGCTGCCATATTAAAACTGCATTTTATATTTACATGGTGGCAGATATTTTTCACTAATATTAAAATTTGTTTGCTGAAACATATAAATGTGACAAATACTGAAAATTTGAAGAACTCAAGGGAGGAGCAAATATTTATTCCCAGTACTATCGGTTGAGTTTCGCTGTCAAGCAGCCACTTCAGACCAGAGATTTGGGTAAGAGCATTTCTTAGATTTCCTTCAGCCACAAAGAAAACATTTTAGCCTTACGGTAATCCTTCCCAGAGCCCTCCCTAAGCTCAATGGCTCTTCCTCCCTAGGTAATCCCTCTGGCCCCTGTGTGTGATCCTAGAGGGGAATCTCTTTATACCAAAACCCACCGTGCACACCATTTCCCTCCTCTCGCTCCATGGCCCTTCTGAGACCCAGCTGACCTTCTTGTCGACGTCAAAGAAAAATCAGAGTGGAAGCTAGAGCAGTGAGGGTCTCCACCCAGGAGACAGGAGGTCTAATCACCCTGTTCCTCACGAAATCCACAAGAGAAACATTAGCATTCCTTAATCTGCCCAGTATCAGGTACAATCGCTGGATGTGTACTTGCGCTTTTCTACTTCCATTTTCCTCTACGGAAAATAACATTTTACTTCAGTATAGATTTATATTTCCCAAGAAAATTATTTTTGCAACCAGACATTATAAAACAGAAAAGTTTGCTCTCAGTCTTGGAGTCTTGGCTGTCCAGGCATGTAAACCAAGCAGCAAAGTGAAAACGAAGCAACACCGAACAGCCAAAAATTGTTGTTCCTCTTCCTCTCAGGGCAATTTAAGCTTGGGTCCAAAGGCAAGTTAATCCCAACAGACTCCTATGTTAAAATTCCAAAATTTACACCAGTAAAAATCATTACATACAGCTGAAGCTTAAAGTTGGTTTCACATGTGGAGCAGCGGCAGCCAATAGCTAGGCCCCACCTCTGCTTATTCATGCTACTGAATTTCACCTGAATGTGTTTGTGCTGTATATACTTTTCGGAGCACTTTTAGTACTTTTAGTACCTTTAGTACTAATCAGCAGTTTTGTTTTGTTTTTGTTGTTGTTGTTGTCTTTTTTTTTGGGGGGGGGGGGGTCATTTGTTTCAAGGTGTTTTTTTTAGGATTAAGGAGAGCTACTAATACTACTACTACTACTTAGCTACTCCATTATGTGTGTCTGTGAATTAGTCATTAATCATATAGTAGGGGACAAATTGTTAATGCTGAGGTTTTGTCCAGAAACCAGTTGGTTACATCATGTTGGCTATGTTCATTTTTTGATGTTTTTTTCAATGAGTGAGAAGTGATAGCTCTCATTTTAAGAATTTCCAACAGGCTTGTCGCAATTTTGCAAGGAAAGTGCAGCAACACATCCTATTTTTTAATAGGATGTGTTTTAAATGTCTATTTAAATGAAACGTATAAAATATTAAATATCCAAAGCACTAGAATTCTCACCATTCCCCTTTATCCATTATAACTGATATTCCCAATAACCAACTCAAAGCCAGAATGAAATTTAGATTGCACCTGTTTACAATTTCTGTTTGTAAGGGGCAACCAAAAAGAACTTAAAGGGCCCTTTTCGCAAATTGAATCAGATGAAATAAGGATTATTTTGAACTGGGAATCATGCAAAGCTAGTCTAGCAGAGTCCAAAAAGATAAATATGGAGTACAATTACTGTAAATATGTAAAGATTCTGACTTGCTTTCAAAAGAGTATATGTGCAAAAGCATTGTAATGCTGAACAAGTTACAAAAAGGTAGTATTCGGTGTAGTGATAGGTTCACACCACCCCAGTCAGCTCTGCATTAAATCAAATAGTGGGAGGATGAGTCTTTGCTGTTGGTTCACGTTTCAGGGTTTATTATGACTGAAGGAGTGGGGCTCACAGAGTGCTACTCCCTGGACAAGTTGTGCTCCTTGTAAAATGATTGCTTTATTGTTGCACCATGTACAACATTTGCTCATATCAATAATGGGATATGCTCCAATGCATCAGGCAAACCCTGGGAGAGAATGTAGCCTCATTTGGTTCATTCAATTTTCACTGCTCGCTTTCATGGCAAAGCAGGTTTTGGGTAGCCACAGGAATGAGTGAATATTCACAACTTCTTGACTAAACTTTATCTCTAATCATATGGAATCTCTGTACAGGGAGCAAAAAAAATTCCAGATGGGCATCTTTAAGATATCTAAATCCCCCTCTGTTTGCTAGTAGGTTCTGGGGTCAAGGTGTGAAGGGAGGACCAAAAGACCTGTTTCCCACAATCCCTCCACAGCTATAGCCCCCCAGCTGTTCGAGGGCTTTCATCACAACAGCTGCGCAGAGGTTTAGTGGTTCATGTTGCTATGACAACAGCAGGATCAATTGGCATGCACAGACTCTCGGTGCTAATAGCAAAAGTGACATTATGGCATAATTTCATTTCAATAAAACACAGACAGCATTTTTGGTGCACAGAGATTCAGGGGCACATAAAAGGATAAAAGGAAATAATTAATTTTGCACGACAATTCTAGCAGCTCATATGTACAAAACTTACAAGAATCTCCCACACATATTGACAAGCCAGCAACATCTCATTTCAAAAACATTCCTCTACGTTAAAGATAAGCTCAGTACAGAGCATGACTGTGTCCAAACTCATACAATAGAAGCTAAATATGTCTTCATGCCCGGCAGCTGTATTTGCCACAGATCGCTAACCGGCAGGATGTGCAACAATCAGAAATATTTCTGTTCTCCTGACAAACAGGATATCAGGTCACTTGGCCTCCTCAACAGTGAGGAATCTGATTGTATGGGGAGATTAAAGTATTGCGCAGAGTCAAGAACCAGCCCCAGTTCTACTTGAGGTTTACCAATGGAGGACATCTTTATTACTTAAATACACTCATTGTTCCTTCACATATATTCAACAGTTAGTTAGAGTTTAGTTTTATAGCTTTAATCTGGCCAGTGAATGACAATAGTAGGTATTCCCGAGGGAGTAACCGGAGCTGGCATGGCGTCACCACGGATTTAAGCCCAGCATTTAATGAGCATGCAGCAGATACAGGCAGCTGTGCCAGACAAAACACAGCACAGGCAGCCTATTCGCACACTGATGTGAGCATGTTATCCAGCTGCTACACTGTGAAACACAAGGTTTTTTAACTTTGTATGTACACCACTAATCATCATTCGGCTGATATTTGACATTGATTATTCCTCTCTGTCTCAAAGAATATGATAGGCCTTGTGAACGGTGTGGGGAAAGCCAAACCGGAATTTACAGCTAAAAATACCCACAGTGATGAGTCAGGATGGACTGAGCAAACAAAAAGAGACCCGTCTAATTTCCTACAGTCTGGCCTTTCAGTGAAAAAACTTCCAAAGTCCTTTCTAGTTAATGAGAGCAGCATCGAGAAGAGAGAAAAGATAATCTATAGACTAGTGGGATAAAAAGAGATTGTCCAATTTCAGTTCAATTCAATGCAATTTGATTTATAGAGCACCAAATCGCAACAACTGTTGCCTCACAGCACTTTACACTGTAAGGTAAAGACCTTAAAATATTTGAGAGAAAACTCCAACAATGAAATAATCCCCTATGACCATGCAGTTGGCGACAGTGGAAAGGAAAATCTCATAACAAGAAAAAAAAGAGCAGAGTTTAAGTCAAAGTTTAAAAATAATTACCCAGTTTGTTATCGTATTGTATCTAGAATTTTCAGGTGAAAATGAATTTAATTAATTTTTGGAATAAAGCTGTAACATAGTAAAAATGTGGAACAATTTGACCTGTGAATACTTTCCAGAAGCACTGTAAAGCAGGGTATCATCTGCATAGCAATGAAAGGTGATCAGGTATAATGTAAATAGCAGTGGTCCCAGCACAGAACCTTGTGGAACTCTGTGACGAACTTCTGTGTGCGGAGAAGCCTTCACATTTAATTCAATTCAATTCAATTCAATTTTATTTATATAGCGCCAAATCACAACATAAGTCGCCTCAAGGCGCTTCATAGATACAGAGAAAAACCCAACAATCATATGACCTCCTATGAGCAAGCACTTTGGCAACAGTGGGAAGGAAAAACTCCCTTTTAACAGGAAGAAACCTCCGGCAGAACCAGGCTCAGGGAGGGGCGGCCATCTGCTGCGACCGGTTGGGGTGAGAGAAGACATTTACACGAACAAATCCGTTATTCTTTTACATAGATATGATTCAAACCATAATTCCTTTAATATGGTGTTCTGCTTTGTAATTAAATATTATGGTTAACAATATCAAATCACTGCACTTAGGTGAGGTTTAACATGAAATGCACAGAGATCCACTGTCAGAAACCATAAGACTGTCATTAGCAGCTGTCTGTTTTGATAATGAGCTCTGAAACTTGACTGAAATTATTCAAATAAGCTATTCCTCTGCAGATGGTCAGTTAGCTTTTTTACAACTAGTCTTTTAAGAATTTCTGAAATAACAGGAAGGTTGGAGATTGGTCTATAAATCGCTAAGACAGGAGGGTAAAGTAAAGGCTTTTTAAGTAATAGTTTAATACCACCATCTTAAAAGCATGTAATCTGTTGTGGCAGGGCATGGGCTGTGGCACCGCTGCGGGGGAGGCGGACTCACCTGAGAGGCATCAGTGATCACGTTTCACCGGCTTAGAATGATTAACTGGGTCCTGACTGGGTTGTTGTTCTGTTGTGTGTGGATGGCAGCTGAAAAAGAGCCAACAACCGGGAAATAAAAGTGTGTAAAGTGAACTATGTGGTTGGGTCCATCGCAATTTCCATTCCACCCTTTAACAGAGATAGATTGACTACTAATGGTATGACTTCTTTCAGCAGTCTAGAAGGAACTGAGTGCAATAGACACATTGATGGTTTGAAGGAAGTAATTACTGAACAGAACAATCAGAGAGAGTTTAAATAAATATCAGCTGTTTTAAAAGTTTTGGATTAGCTGTTGGATTAGCAGTTGGATTAACAACTTCATTTTAAAAATCCTGCGACTATTCAAATTAGCCACACCGTGGGCTGTAAGGAGCTCTCTGATTGGTTGGACAGACACAGGCTGTCTGTCTGGATTTTTCTAGCTCATAGCTTCGCCCTGCTAAGTAGCGTGTGTGCTTTTACAAAGGCCGTTCAGCCTCAGGATTTACACTCGACTTGACACGGATATGTGAAGACCCTGCAGCAAAACAAACAGCGCAACCTCTGACTGAGTGCCTGTTTATTCAGTCTGACCACCTGTTGAAGGTAATGTGCTAACATGGCTAATGCTAGCATCACCGCACGTCGCCACGTTATTTTAAGGTCATCTTAGCTTATGACAATTTTACGTCACATCTGTACGAGCTGGCTACGTGTTTTGTAAGATGCTGTGCTCTTCACAAATAAAGCTGGAAGCAGCTCAGACTATTAGAACCAGCACTGAGCCCTGTTACATTTACACAGTGTTAGAGCAACGGCTGCAGCCTACAGCCTTTAAACTAGCGTGTGCAGTTCCTGCTTTAACCTCCTAGGACCTGGCGTCCACATATGTCGACATCACATTTTCACTCATTACATCCCACGGTGTGGCTAATTTGAATAGCCGCAGGATTTTTAAAATGAAGTTGTTAATCCAACAGCTAATCCAAAAGTTAATCCCTGAGCGAACAGGAAAGGGAAATGGATTTTGAAATGAGGAATGGAATCGCCATTTTAAAAAGCATTGTGAAAATCACTTTATTAAAGTGCAATTCGAAAAAGGGTTTTGAAATGAAGTTTTTAAAAAGCATTTTAAAAATCAGTTTACTAAATTGGAATTCAAAAATGAATTTACAAATGCAGAATTTATTCTACAACTCATTATTTAAGCAGAGAATTCTTTATTTCCATGCGCATGGCTCTTGTGGTCCTCCATATTTGTTAACCTGGCTACAGTACTGAAAAGAAACCTGGGATTATTCTGTTTTCTTCTATCAGTGATGAATTGGAAGATGTCCCAGCTTTACAGAAGGCTTTTTTTATAGAGCACAAAACTATTTTTCCAAGCCAGACAAAGGTTTTCTAAATTAGTGAAACACTATCTCCTCCTCTTCAGCTAAAGGTTATCTGCTTTAAGGTGTCCATTTGTGAGTTATACCAAGGACTTTGATCTGGAGCTTTCTTTTTTAGAAGACTCATAGTATATATGTGTGTAACTCTGCTTTGTGTGCCCAACTCTGAATAATCACACTTTGGGGGCTCAATAATTTGATGAGATTACTAGAAAAGAGAGCTGCTCCATGTAAAGTGGAATTGATGCCATTTCTCCTAAAAAAAGACCACATAAATTTTTTGAACATGACACAGCCAGTGGTTTGAGAAAAACATGCAGCTAAGCATGTCACTACTGTTCTGAATGGAGAGGAGCAAAGTCTGGTATTTTTTAAATCAAAATTACATACTTTGTCAGTTTCAGTATTAATCAGTAATAATTTGAGTGACTTAAGTAATTTCAAACTTAATGCAAACAGGTGCTTTACTGCTAAAGTGAATTCTGGTCTTGCAAAATCTAATTTATTCTTAGTTGGCAGTTTTATATTTCCTTCAAGGGGGGCTACTATGACCCCAGGAACAGAATCAACTATGGCTGCTCAAGTCTCTAGTGTTATGTTTCACAGACTAGAGTTTTTAGCTTGGCAGGTGTCTCATGGGAGGGTAAATTCAATTTGAAACATGAACAGGTTAGTGGAGTAGCAGGGGTACAGCTAACTGGGGTGAGCTATCTGGGAGTCCAAAGCTACAAGTTTTATTAAAGTACCACTGATGCTAAAGGAAGCTGAGAAGTAATTAAACATTTGAAAAACTGCACCGCAGCACGAGGGTGTGCTGCTGGTGCTTCATTTAAAGGTGCTTCTATAAAAGGGGCATCATTTTTAATTCTTCTTACCACCAAACTATTCACTGAGCTGTTGTGCCCTATGGATTGGTGCCAGTCATCTCTGAAGAGACCAGACAACTTCAGAATAAAACTGAATATGATAAAAGTGACTGCCCTGAAAAACATAATATTAATTTCTGTATTTAATTTGAGAAACTTGCCTTTAAGAAACGATACTAGTAAAATGCCCCTTATCAACTGTCATTATAGGTATCAAAAGTTTATACCACTGTTCTCTCGACCTACGTCACACATCTGCTTGTCTAGTTGAGAATATAATGAAACTGACTATATCTTTACTCTTTGCTTATGTACGAGACGTCAAAAGGAAGGCAAAAAGGTTTTGTTTTTTTTAATACCATGATATTACTTGGCCTTGCCTCCATGTACTGGGATAAATATTTTTACTTGAGAATACATTTATGTCCGATTCAAAACTTGCCCAAAAAAGTTTATATCCCAAGGCACCAAAGTGCATCTGTTATGCAAAATGTATATCAAGATTATCTTTTGAGGCAAACACACAGGTAAAAACACACTGAAAACATAAAGGATGTGTTTTCACTTCATTCCAGCTGTCAGACTGTCAGATCTAACACACAGAGAGGAGACACAAGAGGCATTTCCCAGGTGGAATCCTGCCTTGATTCTCACAAAAATGAATCAAACAATCCAGACAGACAGCAGGCCAGTTAAAAGAAGTTGTCTTGGCTCATATTATGCAATATCCTGCAGAGGTATCTCTATAATGTGACTGCAGAAGTTTAGATATATTTTGAAAAATATATATTTTGAAAACTCCTAACTGATGTACATGTAAGTCAGTGAAATGAATCACATCTTTAAGATGTGGCCTCTGTGATAAATCAATGGAACTGTTGTGTTCTGTGGTAAGTACAAAGCACTGAATGGGAAGACTGAATGGATTAAACAGCCAGTGACCACAATTTACATTATTTTATATGGGTACATTCATTGTCAGATGAAGTGATGAACTGCAGTACGAACATCACTGATTTCTGATTATCTTTTTATGAAACTACAATCAGTGTTCTGGTTGAAAACCTTTGGCTGCTGTTACTCATATCCTTTCCCAAACATATAAAGGTAGGTTTTACTGCTTAAACCTATGTTAGGGACTAGAAAGGTGCTCGTGTAGTACCTTTCTAGTCAGTTGAGCATTCAAAGCACTTTCTTACTATAATCTCAACCAGTGACACACACATTCATACAACACTTATTTACGCGTAAGCACTTTCTAACATTCACACTCCATTGGATGCATCCGGGGCAACTTGGATACTGCCCGATGGCAGTTGCCCTTACACAGCATCAAAATGCATGTTATTGGGTGTATTGGACCAATACAAGTGCTCAATACTTTCACCCAGCTTCTCAACAAGCACATTTGATCAAGAGGTTTGCTGGAACATGCCCAATCCACAGCGCTCACAGGATCCACTGCCAGCATCACAGTTCCAGACACTACAGGGCACGCACAGAGGTCCCAGGCCCATGCCTTAGGGCTGTTTTGATGGCACAAAATAGAACTAAAATATTAAAAGGTACTTTTAAATTTGTTGCTAATAATACATCATAAAATGACTTACAGATTACAGATTTTCACATCTTGCACATAAATGATATAAAGCATGAAGACATGATCTGTTATTTTAATGTCCATCTTGTATAAAATGTCAGAGTCAGGTGGTAGAATGAAATTTATACACTACAGTACACGCTGATGACAAAGTCATAAATGTAGTGAAGAATGTTGATAATCTCCTCAGCCTGGTGCTGTATAGCAGTAGTAAATTTTGCACATAATCTTTCAATGTCTCTCAGACAGAAAAAAGTGCTTCCCATATGTACATTAAAGAAGATGGATGAAGGAAGCACAAAGAAAGCTTCGGTTAAAGCAGACTCATTCTCTCTGAATTTAAACAGCCAGTGTCTGCCCATTATATAAATAATGAGGCCATAGTAGGAATAAAGGTAACACTTTTTTTTGCTGCAAATTTAAACACTCTTTCATTGTCTGAGCATGAAACAGCTCGGGAAGGCAGAAGCACAATGGACTTGGCAGAGGCGGCAAAGGCAGAACAGACAGAGAGGAATTCCCCATCAGTGTCTGAAACAAACTAACCTTTCTTTTTTTTCTTTCTGACTCTTCCCTCCTGGTGAGAGTCCAAAGGAAGAAAGTTAACTCTTTCACTGGCACACTGAATGTCTGCTTCAGTTGTTTGTTCAGAGTGCACAGCTCCTAATAATAATTCATGACATTCCTGTGGACTGAGGCTGCAGAATTGACACCCTGGTTCTCTCTGTAGCCTCCACAATGTTTTTCCACACATTAGAGATGCACCACTTAACCCCCCCTTCGCCACCACCACAATCCAGCTTCATATCCAGGTAGTTAAATACAAAGTACTTTCTGTCCTTTTCCCAGTACAGAAAATAGTGTCTTGAAGGTGCTTCTCTGTCTGTAAATGTCGGCTGGTGATGGTTTATAAATACCACTGACCACGGGGGAGAAGAAGAACAGTAGCATGCCGCTTCACTGAGATTGAGAGATTCACACAAAAGACTTATAAGAAAACCTCAAAACAGTAAACCGCTTTCTCAATTTCCCAGCCCTAGCTTGTACAAACACACTCTCATATCCTGGAAAGATAAGCAGGCCTGTTTTGAAGAGGGCATCAAGAAGGCAGGTGTAAGTCATCCCTCATCTCCTGTCATGGTGGGTCTCACCTTCACAGTCCAACTGACACTACGCTGCAGCCAATCCTTTCTGAGAAGCTTAACCACGCGTCTCTTTTTGAGAGTGGCCCATTGGTCAACTTTGCTCTGAACAAATGAGGAAAAAAAACAAGAACGAAAGCAACCACAGCTAAAATCACGTGTTCCAGGTCCACATTTCCAGCAATAAGTCAGATTCATTCCCAGTAGATGCCGGACTTCACCAGGGCTGCCCTCTGTCACTGATTCTATTTACAATTTTTATTAATGCCAAGTGGTTTAAGGCTTCCACCTTGGTGGCTGCAGGATCACGTCTTTGCTTTTTGTGGATGATGTGGTTCTGCTGAATTTATTAGACTGTGGCCTCACACTGAAGTGGTTTACAGCTGAGAGTGAAGTAACAGAAATGAAAATTAGCACCTTCAAGTCTGAGTCCATGGTTCTCAGCAGAAAAAGGGTGGAGTGCCAAATATAGGTAAGGATGGATGGATGGACGTGTTACAAATGTTCTAACAGAAAAGTTTGATATTTTTCATATTCAAGCTAGATAAGAAGACTTATCTAGGTTACCACTAGATCTATAAGAGACTGGCAGCCAGGCACTGAACTTAGTTTGGCAAAATCTGTAAAAAGCAACTCACAACAAGTTTTTGTGTTGTTTGTGAACAAAGACTGCAGTCTTGTGGTCATCAGCTAGCAGGAGATCCAGGATCCAGGAGACCCACATGATTTTATTCTGTTTGTATGCAAGCCCAGTGTCCCAGGTGTCACATGCCAGTTTTGATGTCACATCATGTCACCTTGCCCAGTTGTGTAGCTCTTGATTTTTGTAACCTGGCGTGTTGCGCCACAAGACTTTGCAACAACAACCACTTGGCAAACTCTTTGCTTACAGTTTTGAGTTTTTCTCTTCCTATAACATCACTTACATGGCAGTATTGTCTGAGTGGCGACACCTATCGTTCTGCAGAGGCTTCCTGTGCCTTAACAGTGGGCATAAATAGACTTCAAGATGATATTGCAAAGCAACCTTAGCTGTCAATTTCCAAATGGGAATGAGGAGTGAGTAAACCTGGAGATGAATTTTGCAGCATGAAAGAATTTTAAATATTTCAAATTCTATCCTTTGGTGAATATATAATTTCCAACATGAGTTCTCTGACGGAAAACCTTCAGTTGATCCAAATGCTTTAAGAGGGAGCATTTTTCTCTAATACTAGGTTCTCTTCCCTGTTCATTTCAGAATCAAATTTCAGCTCCTACTCCTCCCATACAAGGTATTGGATAATCAGCCACCGTCTTATCTTAAGGACCTTACAGTACCATATCACTCCAATAAAGCACTTCACGCTTAGACTGCTGGCTTGTCTACGGCTCCTAGGATATTTATTTACAAAGGTAGAATGGGAGGCAGAGCTTTCAGTTTTTAGGCCCCTATTCTGTCAAAACAGCTCCCAGTTTAGATTTGGGAGACAGACACCCTTGCTACTTTTAAGATTAGCCTTAAAACCTTTCTTGTTGAAAAAGCCTATAGTTAGGGCTGGATCAGGTAACCCTAGGCTGCCAGAGGCTTCCCATGAGTGTTTCTTCTTCACTTGTTTGTTTTCACTGCGTTTTTATACTTTATTTAATCATTCATTATTAGCAGTGTTGGGCAAGTTACTTTAAAATAGTAACTTAGTTACATTACTAGTTACTTCTCTCAAAAGTAACTCAGTTACTTCAAGTTACTCGTTACTTTCAAAGTAACTAGTTACTAGGGAAAGTAACTTTGGTTTTACTCAGAATTCTCTTGTTAATGTGTTTCTTCCATAACTTTGCCAGTCTTCTAGCTTGCTTACTTGCCACAAGTGCACTGTGCCACCTACCAATAGAAAGGAAAAGATAATGTGCATATTTCCACGAGAGAAATCCCACGCCTGGACCGTCATTGACTGCTGCCATGATTCTAGCCTACGTCCACGCATGGCGCTTCCAAACTCAGTCGGGTGTTTCTGCGTCACAGCCATGTGCCTTTACATCCAACACAAAAACTGCAGTCGTGGTGCTTTCGATTGTACTCAGAACTCGGAAATTCTGCCTTCTGAATAGGAAGATGTAGGAACACCAGACTGCAGATGAGCTGCATACAGGGCTGGACTGGGACAGAAAATGTGCCCGGGCATTTTGACTAGAGACCGGCCCACCATTATAGGAAAAATCATAAAGCCTTTGAATGAAAATAAACACTGTTGTGACAGTGATGTACACTGTTCTTGATGGTATATATGCATCAATCTATCAATCGTTTGTTGTAAGATTCAGATAATTATTTTTTAAAAGCGTAGACATTTTAAATGAGAATAAGAAAGAAAAGTATTTCTTTGTGCCCCCCTTTCCCTGTTAATGCCCTACCTGGCCCCCTGGCAACTTTGCTAGACCCGCCCCTGCACAGTTACCAGCTGTCAGCTACTAAAAAAGGATCCTGGTGTTATTTGTCTCTCAGAAACAGTTCATAACTTCCCTTCAACTCATTCATGTCACCTAAAAGGTAAACCTGTTTCTCCATCACCTGTTCAGCTCTGATGATCCAGTAAGGACATCTCCTGGTTTCATCTTCATGTTTCCCTCTCACCAGATAACCAAACCATATCATGACCAGCAGCTTTACAGCTGTGGCTCCAGCAAACATCAGCTGATACTAGAAATTAATATTAAATAAATTCTAACAACAGCTGATCAAGCTTAAACGTGCTGCTGTTGTTTAGCGCGACATCCGCTGGTTTCCTCTTTCGGCGCAAAGTGAGCGATAAACAAACAAGAGAGAAAAGCCGATCAGCTGATCATTGATCAGTTTCATGATTGAAGTAGAAACGGGAGAGGGAGGGGGAGAATGAGAGAAGAAGAGGCAGCTGTGCAGCTTAAACACAGAATAACTCCAGCTTTGTGTCTTTTTCATTGTAGCTGAATTACGGGACAAACTGTTCCTTTTCACCTCAATAAGAAACGCGTAATATTTTCTCTGAATACCAGGCGGGACGGTTGGCAACTCTAATAACTTATGAACAAAATAAAGTTAAACATCATTAACATCATAGCACCACCCAGCTGTATAGAAACTCCGTCATGCTAGCTAGCACGCAGTACGGAAAAAGTCAGAATAACGAAAATAAACTCCACCTAAACTTGGTTTATATCTGACCCAGAGAGCCTGCAGGTCAGAACTTCTTACCTGAAGTTCAGTTCACACTTGGGCTTGTCTAAATTTTGGTAGTTTTCTCTGTGTCACTGTAGGGTCTGTCCCTTACAACATAAGGAACATCTTGGTAAGACTGTTTTTGTTGTTACTATATAACAGGTAATAACATGGAACAGAAATGATTGACCTATTGCAGAAAAACATATCTAAAAGGCTTTTTCCTAACAAAAAGTTTTTTTCAGAGGAAACATTGCAATCTAGAAAAAAAGTCTTCCATAATGAGGCCAATTGGATTAGCAGTGGTGTGGTCTGAATCTGTGCAATTATTGTTTTAGACATAATGGCGAGTTGAAAGAGGCATACTGCAGGCTTCAGTTCTTAGAGCTAAAGGCTCATTATTGGAGGCATTAACTCAGTTATTGCTACCAACCAGAATGGTTGGGTTTTCATACATCTTGGATAAACTACAGGACTTGCTCTGGCTACTTAATGCTTCCCCAACCAGGCCAGAGAGACATTTTTAAAAACTTCTGTGCCACCAAATCCAAATGATAAATCACTTAACAGGAGCCTTATGAGTCTATGAGACTGTTGTTGCTGAACTTGTTCTAAAAAGATAAAGACTGAGACACGGTCTCCATTTGAACCATTTGGAGAATCCCCTTACAGTCCTGGTACAAGACTAGTGTTAAAGTTCAGATGTGTGGTACTAATCACATTTAAAAACAATGTCACATACAGTAATCTTTAGGTGTGAGCACAGAGCACTAATGAAACACTAATGAAACACTGATGATTTCAGTGAGGCTGTCCAAATTACTTATCCCCTCTGAAAAGCTCTTTAAACTAAAAAAGCAAATTTCATCCACAATCAGCACTATCAGATTTCAAATTCCCATTCACACCACACTAACATTACAGCAATGCCAAGGCAGTGCCAGCAGGGAGCCAGGCATAGATACAGCAGAGCGGTATGGAGACCTTGACCAGATGAGAGCAGCCAGGGGGAGGGGGATCTGGATAGCTGTCTTTCTTCTCCCAGACTCGAGCCCAGACATACAGAAACACACTTGACTCTGTACCGTCTCCAGACGACGCCAGTTCCACAGCTGTTTATAACTCACTTTTAGCACAAAACCATCATCACTCTTTGGAGATGAACCTTTATGAAGTCACATAGTGCGTGGGAGAGCTGTGTGGGTGCGTGACTATGTGTCATTTTTCATTCTTTTACTCAATTTTTTTTTAGTCGCTGGTAATTAAAGTGCTCTTTCCTATGAACTCCTCTGAGGTGCTTTTTCACCTCTTAGGCTGAAAACTTCTCTGTCTGGATTGATCTCAGTGGAGTTTGTCAGATTCTAATGTTATTTTCATTTAGAAATATAATAATGTATAATAGTGTGGCTTTTATGAATGTCTACGTGGAAAATAGGTGGGAAAATTTTTCTCAGCTAGGTATTGGAAACATGTTGCACCACCCACACCCACAGCCCGACACATGCACACACAACATTTTATTACAGAGTTAATTATATCTGATAGCAGAAGACACGCTGATTTTAATTGTACAAACTCTGAAACTTTCAGGATTTTGTTTGTTTGCTTTTCTTCTTTTTTTGGGATTTTTTGTTATCGGGGGAGGGGAGGGGTCAAATAAAGCCACTGGGCACAATATGGATATGGCTTTTTATTTTTGCTATGGCAAAATATAACTCCTTATTACGGTGTATTGCAGTTTTTAGGCACTTATCAGTGACAGGTGTCAGTGCCAAAAATATTGCAGGACAAAGTATGTACCTGAAAGTATCCACAATGTCACTTTCAGCCTTGAAATACTGATTTATGAGCACATACTGACACATTAAACTTTTTGAATTAATGTAGCTGCATGTTTCCTGCATTTAAATACATAAAACTATTTTAATACCGTAAACGAAACAGTCTAAATTTAGGCTCGATGATGGTTTCTCTGCAGAGTAGTGACATCACCTGTATTTTAAGTTCACGTTTTTTTCTCTGTTTATTTACATGACAGACACTGCATTTTAATAACACTTTTTGAAAATTGGACTTTAATTGAGTAGTAAAATTTGTAGCTATTGCATTTTCACAAATCCCAGTGTCTTTATAGGCAATTCAAACTGCCGTCCTGATTGGCTCCCCTCATTAAATAATAGCTGAACTGTTTCCAAGCAGGCAGCATTAAACTAGGATGCATCCAGCAGCAGGTTTACTTATTTCAATCGAAAGAGTTGCTGTTGTTCATGACTAACAGCTGTATCACAATGTTATTTTTTAGTTAGCCTTTGGCTGACTTTCATTTATTTGTAACAGGCAGGATAAGTAATGTTGTATTATAATGGAAGCTTGTTTGAAGACAACCTACAAATATTCTGAAAATGTCAAGAAGTTTAAGAAATATTAAATGCCTATTATATTAACAGCACACTATAACCTACTTACTGAAAGCTTGACTGAAGTGCTGCACATCTGTCCTTTGGACTGAACAAGATCTATACAGCAGACTGCTGCCAAAGTCAAGCATTTACAGTAGTCTCCATTTTCCTGCCATGTCTTTTTGCATCTTACGCATATTAACTACTCTCTGTGTGAAACCTGGAGTCCAAGATAACATTACTTCTAATGAGAAATGTACCCGAGATGTGAGTGCAAACACACACAGAGAAAATAAATAGACACTTTATAGAGTGATCATCCAATATTTCAGTTCTTTCTGCATTTCTCACTTTTCAGGAATGTCTTGAACAATAGCCTCTTTGAGAGAGCGAACCTCTTATCGTGGCACATATCCTAACATGCTAATTACCCACACAGTTTGAGTTCATTTATTATGCATGAAATAATCTAATATGATGACTGTGATAATTATGCGCACATAGATAAGATAAAAGAGTAGTAACCAATTATGGCACGGGAGTTGGGAAAAGTAATTATTCTTTGTAGTGGAAAGAAGTCTCGGTAGAGAAAAAGGGGGTTCGGTCTGTTTTTCTTTTTTTTTTACTTAGTACTGGATTTAACATGTGAAATCATGTCTACACTCCCAGATAATGTTTAAGGGATATTTTCGTGATTTAAAGTCTTATTTTTTTAGGAGGCATTTCATTGACCAAAATGAAAAAGTAAAACTGCAGTAGACCAGAATTTGCTTCAGCTGCTGATATATCCACTTACAGTGATGTTTCTGTTATAATTGCACACGCTCACCCCCCCCAGCAAACTCCATAAATCTGACATGTTTACATTAAGACTTGAAAGGCAAAGCAACTAAATGTCTTGGTTTTCATCGGCAGTAGCAAATCAGAAAGGACACCAAAAGGAAGGAGTGGTGCTCAGAGTCAAGTACTCACAAATCAGACGGGTGTTGTAGAGTCATTAAATATTACCACTTCTAAAATCAGAGCTGGCATGCGGTTAGCCCGCACCACTGTACAAACACACTTAACAC